CAACGCATTTAAATGAGCTTGTTTTGTTACAGGACATGGTGTCAGAGTTAAGTTTTTCTGCAGGACCTTTGCACTAATTCTTTTTGGAACGACCTGTCCTCCGTCAGAAATGTAGTTTTTGAATGATTTTATTATTAACCTTTTTCCACTGCAGCCATTGGGCCACCTGCACCAAATAACTCACCCATAGATAACTTACTACACCCACAGTTTCACATCCCACTGGTTTAGACTCAGACTACCTGACTAACTAGATGCCATGTCCTCGGCTGAAGTACAAAACCGCTTATCAGGAAAAATACTGAGGAAATATTGTTCAAATAGTTTAAAAAAATGTACTTTTGAGAAAATGTCTTACCTGATTGGATTGGTTTTGGCAGGTGTGTATTTTCTGTCATAGCATAGGACAATATTTTGTATTATCAACATCTGAAGTTCTAATCAGAACAGTATGCAAATTTGGCCCTGCATGTCCTGGATGTCCTTGAACAGAAGTGTTAGGTGAGACACATTCAGTCACAAGGTGTAACTTCACCATAACGTGTTACTAAAAACCAACATTTTTTTCTGTTTATGTACAATTTGGTGTGTGATTCAGAACTTGCTGATGTTGCGGTGCACTTGGAATCATATTTTGAGCACAATGTGCCCCACAAGGTTATTTGACATATCCTAGAATCGGTGTAAGAGTAATAATTGCCCCGCAAGGTTATTTGACATATCCTAGAATCGTTATCCATCATAGATCTAAACTCACAGGATTCATAGCTGTGACTGTGGTGGTCATTTTTCATGTACTTTACAGGAAGATTTCGTACGTTTTTACGTCACTGCCTGTCGTGTAAAAACATTAAGACCAAACGCAGCCTCTGCCCAGACCGTTGTCACCATGTTTGATTCATTTCCTCTCTTACTACTTTGTTTTTGTTTATATGACCTAAAAATGATTTATTTATTAAAGAAAAACTAATTTCAGAGGTTTTATGGTTTAACTAGTTGTCAGTACTGAGACTGCCCTGCCTCCCTTTATAACAAGCAGATTGAATTTATTATTTTAAGTCTGAATGAATGAATGAATGAATGCTCTGTGATCTACATTGGACTGGAGTCACGTCTTTGTCTGTACTTACGGTACGTGTCGTGAGGACCAATAAAACTCTGGGGGATGAAGGTTGGAACAGATTTAAACTGCAGATGCTCCCATTCAGTGCTGCTTGGTGTGTGTGTGTGTATGTGTGTGTGTGCGCACCCAAAGTCTGATTTCTACCTGCTGTATGCAGTTGTGCGTAGCTGGTTGGCACCAGCCTGTCACCACTGACCTGTTTTCTAACTGAAGAAACAAAATCCAGGTATTTGCACTGATGTCTATTTTTTTTTTTCCAAAGTCTGAGATGACAGCTGAGATTAGCGCCACCTTTTTCCGCACAATGAAAATGTTCTTGAAATGAAGTCACTTTGGTCGCACGAAATTCTGTCAAAGAAAACTTGGTGGCTCTCATCTTCCTTGGTTTCTTCTTCTTCTTCTCTTTTTTGTCTATAAGCCATAGGTTACTGTGTAGAAAGCTCAAAGATGAAGTCATCAGTGTCAGATAATCGTTTGTTTGCCATTTTTGAAGTGAACTTAATGATTTTATTTCATTCCTAAACTCCCTGTAAAACTCGTCTTTTGTTAGAACTATCCAGACAAACAGCCTGAATGGAATTAAATTGAATTATCCAACAGTTTGATGTATATAATCAAAACCCTCACATCATTAGTATCTCTTGGTTGTAAGGATTCACTTTTTATGTATTGTTTTTTTTCCTAAGCCTCAAGTAAAGTCAAATCAGCTCTGCATACAACATAGCGCCCTCTGCAGACCTTGCTTTATATGTAATATTATCAACACAGACCCACATGAAGCAGCTTAAAGCAATAATTGTGGCGTTCATGTTCCAGCCCCTCACACACACACACAACTTCCCTCTTTGTCTCAGCTGCTTTAAGAGGAAACCACTGATCCACCGGACTTCCCCAGAGCCGTGAACCAGAGCCACCAAACACTGAAAATCCTCAGCTCAGCTAATTCGTTGTCTTTAGATCGCCCTCTATCAGGAGACCTGTGGATTTTAAACGTGCACTACAGAATAAAAAATGTCTGCTCTTGAAGATATTGATTATTGTTACTTTGATTAATTGTGTAAATGTGCCTTTGTTCTCTAATAATGTTGACAATAAAAAAGTGGCTCGACTGTTAACGAGTGTCACAGTGACTTTGTGCTGATCCGACATCAGAACTGCAGTCATTCATTAGTGGCTATAAATGATGTGATATTAATATCATAAAAGTAATAATTCACTGGAAGTGTTTATATACAGTTAGCCTGCCCCCTGCCTGTGTTTCCCCATTTTTTTTTCTTTCTTCTGTTAAGTTTGGGTGGTTCTCTGTGGGGAAATGAACCAGTAGGTGGCAGAAGTACAACTTCTAGAATACAGAACTGTTGTGAAATAAAAAAAAAAAGGCATTTATATGGTCAAGTTTGCTGGATTATCGTAACCAAACCTCGGATGAGGCGGACATGTGAGTAATGTTGAAGTGTTTGTTTACAAAGTTAGAAGATTTAGGAACTAATGTGTGGAAACAAACTTTTCCATCCTGCTGTTGTTGACACATGACAAATTTGATATTTCTGTTGTTGTTATATAACTTTTGAAGGATGAGTGGCACCTCATTCACTCCTTTATAGGTGAAAAAATAAAAATCGTCACTTTCCACTCCTCTATATTTAGGTGAAAAAATAAAAATCGTCACTTTTTTGGCTGGAGGATTACTGCTCTGTGATTGGCTGGTTAGAGACAAACAGTGATTTTTTTTCCTTTTTTAACTACTGCTTATGCGCAAACTTAAGACAGTTGGATCTGTACCACACCTTTGTTCTCATGCTGTGTAAGAGCTGTTCCAGGTCCAGATTGCTACAGTGATGATGAAGCTGATCGAGATGAAGATGACGTAGAGGCCAAACAGGAGGCGGTCGATGACTTCGCCCATCATTCTCCACTCCTCTGAGGTGTTGCTGCTCTGGAAATGTTTGTCCACCTGCAGACGGATGGCCATGAGTTCTCCGCTCAGTCTCTTCAGTTCATCTAAGGCCAAGTCGACAGAGGCTTTGTCTGACGTGGTGTGGCTGCAGACGGTCTGAAGATCTCTGTTCGAGATCTTACTGATGCTGTCATTCATAGCATGGGCTGTCAAAAACAAACAAACAAACAACAATGATCATACCAGTAGTAGTAGTAGTAATAGTAATAATAATAATAATAATAATAATAATAATAACCTCTTGCAGATGGGTTGAAGAAGACTGTGACTCGGTTGCTCCTCTCGATCGGAGGAATGAAAACAACGATGGCTAAATATCGTAAGACCAGGACGCTGAGCCACTGAGGGACCTCACTGTACTGACTGCTGCTGAACTGGATGTGGGTGATGAGCACCGTCTCCAACAGGCTGACCACCATCAGTATGAGACTGATGGAGAAGAAAATATCTGCAGGAGACAGGAAAACGGTGAGAACGCAGGACGTTCGAGGATAAACTCCAAACCACGTCTCCTTCGTCCACGGAGGAAACAAAAAAGATGATGAAACAACAGGAGTAACAACAAAAACAACACTGACAAACTTTATAAGGTTTGTATCTGTTTCAGCTCTGAGATAGTTTTGAAAGTTAATGCTGTGTTTGCAGATTTTTTTTCCACAACTACCACAAAAACATTTAATGGAGTTAATGTCCAATATTAACTTTCTGTCAATATGAACACAATTCCGATATCAACCGATATTGACCTGGTAATATTTATTTATTTATCTGTACAAACCACTGTATGAGTTGCTGGTACCAGCCTTGTGAGTACAATCCCCTGATCATTAAAATAGATTAATTAAATGAGCTACAATGCTGCCATCTAGTGACTTTCACGTGAATATACGGCCGTTTATACCATTACAACATTCTTACAGATATTATGCTAGTATCGGCCTATAATATTGGTCGGCCGATATTATCGGACATGCTAAATTCCTTTTTTTTTCATGTGTTCATATCTACAAAATCCAATCCATTTGGAAAAAAAAAGTTAATAAAAATGGAATATTAGTAGCTCTGAAGTTAATAAAAATGGAATATTAGTAGCGCAAATATTGCAACAAAATCTAAACACGGTCCACGGAGCTGAACTTTGACTTTACACTGACGAGTCTTGACCCTGTTTGCTACACAAACTTGAACCTTAGAGCAACTGTAACTGTGTTCCTCACTGATTAGCGGCGTTTCCCCAGTGATGGGCAGCAGATCGTTAATGATGAGCAGGAAGACGGTGTAGCCCAGGATGAGGGTCATCTTGAAGGACGACCGGTCCACGCTCTGTGGAGGCAGCAGGAAGCTGAAGAGGTCGACGGTGATGAGGAAGCAGCTGGGGATCAGCAGGTTCATCACGTACAGCTGCGGTCGACGTCTTAAAATTATCTTTCGGAAAAACAAACAAACAAAAAAAAAAACGCAGGTATGGAATGTGCAGAGTTTAAATTTTGATTCAATGTTTATCTACAAAAAACAGATTTAATCCCATCATGTGACCAGTATTGTGATAATTCTGATGAAATAGCTTACAAAGTACTTGATTGCAGAATATTTGCCCTCGTCAAACTCTAGGGAGGAGTGAGACACACTGATGTGCACAAACTCCCACTCTCCGCTGCTGTGAAGAACCTCTGTGGACTCCTGCAGGATCTTCTCAGCTGTGGTGCCTTCAACCATCCTCACATCTGCAGCTGCAAGAAAAGAGCAGACCGGAGCTCAGGATTAGAGGTTTGGAGACAAAGGCGTCGACAGGCCGTGACAGAGGATCTTACCAAAGTGAAGGTATGGGCCAAAGGTCAAGGAGCAGTTCTGGATATCGAACGGAAAAGTGTAGATTTTCAGCTGGCAGGCGCTGACCACCCTCATGGGCTGGTCGTCATAGACACGGCCGGTGTTGAACAAGTAGGCGTACGGAGTTTTGGGAGATTGATCTTCCTCCATGCTGTACAGAATCAGAGAATTTTATCTCAAAGTAACTGATTTCTGTTTGTTTTTACTTCACGTCACATCATTTTGTTTTGTCATGTTTTTTTTTAAGCGTTCATTTCACTCACATCTCTAAAATATGGATGTCTGGGATCCAGAGATTTTCTCGAGGAACAGAGACTCGGTTGCTTCCACATTCCTTGTCGTCCCAGCTGAGACCCTCGATGTCCCACTGCTGCAGTCAACACAAGATCCTTGATTTTTATTCACTCTATTATGGTCTTTTCTTAACTTTCACTGATTTTTGTTTATTTGATTTTATTCTTGATTTAATTCTATTTTTTTTTAATTCTTTATATGCTCTATATGTCACCCTGTTTGTTTACAGGACTTCGGCCAAAAAAAAAAATCCCTTTATTCCTTCCACAATAGGAAAATTCAATGCGAGTTTTAAAAAAGTCCCTTTATTCCTTTCACAATAGGAAAATTCAATGCGAGTTTTTGCCACACGAGGGCGCCATTAGGTATGCGGTTCCTGTGCCTGTGTGTTGCCTGTTACATACGCTTCTGACTTTCTTAACCTTAACTTTTTCTAACACCTATTCTCCTTATTTATTACCAGTAAACTTTGTTTTTCTTTAACAATTCTTTCTTTCTTTATTACTAGTAAACTTTGTTTTTCTTTAACAATTCCCTTCAATTAATCAATACAATCATTAATCTCTGGTTCTGATTTAATACAAATCAGTCAGAGTTGTCCTTCTGTTGTCCTTCTTACCAGAACTTGCCAGATGACTGTAGTCAGCGTTTGGGACTTTTCATCCTGAAGACAAAACACGAGGCGTGTTAACGATGTTAACGATGCAGCACCGTTAAATTCACCGTCATCTGTGACTGATGGAACTGAGGTACAACGCACTCACCACGCCCACGATTCCCACCACGGTGATCATGATGGAGACGTTCAGTGGACGTGAAAAGTCCTGCACGGGACGGATGAGGTTTTTGGAGAAGAGTTCTTTGTCCAGGGCATCGAACAAGGCTGCGGGAGTCGGGCTGCTGCAGTTGAACGCTGAGCCCAGGTCTAACGGGAAGAACATTAAAAATCACATTGTGGAGGTGCAGGTGCACCGTCTGACGCAGGTGATATCGATCAGCTCGATTAACGATGCCTCTGTTTATATTAGTAGGAGCCGGGACCACAGGAGGAGAGCGATGGAAAGTCAACAGAACCTGCACCGCGATACTTGATATTTGATGAAAGACCGTGAAGTCAGAGCTGTTTGTGCTCGGTGTAGATGTTGAGATAAATAATAAAAAAAAAACAACTCAAAACCTTAATTTACAAACCAGTGACATCAGTGTGAAACAAAGCAGCCATTAAACAGTGACACTTGACACTTCAGTTCAATTCTAAATATAAATGTTATTATCGTTGGGATTATAATCCCATCATAATTTACAGAAAGCAGTTGATTTTGTTTAATTGGTTTTTTTTTTTACTTATTCCACCTCAGTTCATAGAGTCTGTTCCAAAGACGATGAAAATGTTTCAGTCCTTACCGTGAAGCGTCATGAAGCAGATGAAGATGAGCCTCAGTTCAACCATGGTGGTCTCAGGTTTGCCTTTTTTTTCTTTTAATTATTTCAAATGTTTTCTTATAAGAGAAGAAGTTCTGTTCTGTCTTCCCTGTCTTTGAGAAAGTGATGAAACCAGATGAAAGATGAAATTTAAAACCTCCTCCCGGTGAATAATATTGACTTTACGGGTTATTTCTTATTGCTTGCAGAGAAACTCATCTGAACTGGATAAACTTGACTGGATTGTCTGCTTCATCACGGCTGGATCCTCAACAGGTGCATTATTTAATCCCTGACTGTAACTGCAGGAGGTGAGGTTGTTAAAAAAGTATATGTATACAGTATATATATACTGTATATAATATATGTATTTAAAAATCTGTTTTATTGTTTTGAAATTTTTATTTTCAGGCTGTTTACAAAGACAGATTATCAGGACACAAAACATATATTTTATTTTCAGACTGTTTACAAAATAGAGACAGATTATCAGGACACAAAACATATTGTAGTTGTTATACATAAAAAGACAAACTCACTGTACGACGATGATGAAAAATAATGTGTAATTATAGAAACTTTCTTGTTTTGCCCCTGAATGAAATGACATCATTTGATTCCTTGTTCAGGTCTGGCTGATCCAGATGCACCACATGGAGATGATGACCATGGCGTAGCAGGATATGAGCAGCAGGTAGATGCGGAAGAGCAGGAAGTCCAGGACGTACCCCACGTGGCACCACTGGTTCTGCAGCTCGCTCTCCTTCTGCAGCGAGGTGAGGTGAGCGCGGAGGTCACCCAGGTACTGACAGATCTGGTGTAGATCAGTCACAGCTGCTGTTCACGGCACAGGAACATCAGAGAGACAGGAAGTCCAATTAGAGCCTTCGTTAACCACAGCTCTGTGGACAGGACCAACCATCTGCTGTGACCAGGTCAGGGTTTGTTTTTTAGTTAGAAAATTTAACGACTGATAATATTTTAACATGACCCACGTATTTTATATCAGTTACATGTTAATGTGAGCAGAAAAGGTTAAACCTGAAAATAAACACCAAACACACCAAATACAAAAACTAGTAATAATAAAAAACTAAAAGTTAAAATAGTCAAGTGCATATAGAAAAATATAGAAATCGATGAGAGAAGAAAAAAAATAAATGATAACTAGTGATTAACAAAGAAAACAAATGTGAGAATTTAATGTTCATCTGACCATACATTTAATTCAGCCACACATTCTCTCAGAAATTGACATAAATTAGCCCAGAAATGTTCTTGTCTATAAATCTATTATAATTTATTATGTCTATAAACTCAAAATGTTTAATAAATATTCAATAAACCCTATCAGAGAAATGTCAGTTTTCTACCAGTTGGAGAAGTTGTTTAGATGTTTGACCTGACGCTAACATTAAATCACCATGAAGTCACGTGTCTGTGTAAAGGTGTTGAAATACCTCCACTGTTGTTGGGCTGCTGGACAGCACTCAGGTCAGCTGGTTGGATGAGGTCAGCTGGTTGGATGATCACTGGTCCTGAGCTGCAGTTTGAACTCTCAGGTTCCTCTGTCTTTATTGAAGAAGGCTTCTCATCCTCTGGCCAACGGTAGCAGATGAGGTTGGCAATGTGTTTGAGAATGAGCACCCTGACCCAGTGTGGGACCTCCTGATACTTCATGGAGCTGTGGTGGAGGACGTTGGTGATGATGACTGTCTCCAGGAGACTGATGACCATGAGCGCCAGGCAAACGGAGAAATAGATACCTGAAGCCAAACCAGGGAGGAAGAGGTGAGAGTTACAGACGTTTGTGTGATCCTAGAGTTAGAGCTGATAGAACATGTCACCAGCTCCGACCTATGATGGGCGTGCCGTTGGCGGTGCTGGGCAGCAGGTCGTTCATGATGAGCAGGAAGACGGTGTAGCCCAAAATGAGGGTCATTTTGAAGGAGGCGCGGTCGACGCTGTGTGGCGGCAGGTAGAAGGACAAGATGTCGATGAGCATGAGGAAGGAGCTGGGGATGAGCAGGTTGACCACGTAGAGAACTGGACGTCGTCTGATGACCACCTGGTGGACAGGGAGGTGTTCCGAGTTAATGGGATTTAATTCAGCAGGTTCGTGTCAATCGTTTTTTTCTTAGATTTAATTTTTCCAGCAGGTTCGTGTCAATCGTTTTTTTCTTTTTACCCAGAAAGTGATGATGTCCCACTCGTCAATCCCAAACTGGAGGATGGACGTCTCTCCCAGGATGTCCACCAGCTCCCACTCCCCACTGGCTTCCAGGTAACGCTTTGAGTTTCCTGACATCTCCGCAAAGGTCAGGGCCGGACTGACCCTGACGTCCTTGACTGTATCCAGAAAAATCAGACATTTATATGAAGCGACTGAACAAAGACGTTTAACACGAGTGTGTGCCCTCGCCTACGGCTGTACTGATGTGACAGTGTGCATTTGTGAAGCAGGATCTTCTCACTCGTGTGCATGTATGAGCCGAAGGTAAAGGTGCAGTTCTGCACGTCAAATGGAAAACTGAAGATTTCCAGGTTGCAGGCGGAGACGAGCCGCAGCATCCTGTCCCAACGGATGTGGCCCGTGTGGTTGACGTAGACGTAAGGACAAGCCTGGGAGACGTCATCATCCACACTGGAGGGGTTAAAGGTCAGTAAGTCTGAATGACGTAAAAGGTGGTCTGTACTTTTAAAGTCTAATCTGGTCCAAAAAATGTGAATTTTCTTTCAGGAACAAATTCTGCCGTCTGACAAGTTACCGAGTTAAAATGGAGAGTCTGATTGTTTCACACACACCACACTGCATGTGTACTTACAACTCATACACAATAATGTCAGGGGACCAGAGGTTCTTCACAGGGAGGGAAATCTTGGTGAGACCGTCGCACTCTTCAGGGTCCCACATCAAGAACTCGTGGTGCCAGTACTGTTGGAAATGCAGATCAATAAGAATATCTACAAACCTGTACGTCCAGTATGCAGTACCTGTGTATAATTCTATGTTACTCACCAGTCTGAGCCACAGAAAAGTAGTCAGAATCTGGGTCTTCTCATTCTGCCATGACAACAACACAACAGAAGGTTCTGAAAAAAGCCATCACACTAAGACAAAAGTTAAACATCAATCAATCTAAATATACATCTAGAGTAAGCCATCAAACTAAGACAAAAGTTAATCAATCAATCTAAATATACATCTAGAGTTAGAGTTTTCTGACAGCTGTGATGTCCTCACCACTCCCAGGACAGCATACAGGGTGAAGGAGATGTTGGTGATGGTGGGATTACTGAGGTTCACTGCCGGTCTGAATGGTTGCATGTCAAAAACGGCCTGCATGGACTCGTGGGTCGGGCCGCTGTGACCCTCTTTACAGGACAGTTTACTGAAACAAACAGAGGCTGAGAGGAGGAGGCGCCACCGGTTACTCAGACGTACTACGCCAATAAATTAGGCAATATAGTCACCTAGTTTAAAACATCAAATATTCTTTGACAAAAAAAAACCCCAGCTTTTGAGAGTAACATGTACATTTCGACATAAGGAAGCTCACAGATACAAGACTTATACCATATAAAGATTAGCACTGTTTACGTTTCCTTCAAAACTCTGGTGTCAACACCAGTGAACTGTGAAGCTCAATTAACTTCTTCGTATTAGACAGAAATAAAAATGACGGCTGAAGTAATCACAGTGATTTCCCTTCGTAGGAAATGATAAAACAGTCCATGTTACCTGACATCAGGAGCAGAGCTGAGACACACTGCTGGGTTGGACTCATGATGGACCTGCTGCGACGTCCACAACCTGTGACTTTGTTATGTTATAATGAGACGCAGCTCCTTCTGGCAGTGAATGCGCTGCATTGGTGTTGCTGTGTCTCTAATAAGAAGACGGAGCTGAAGCAGGAGGTTGTTGTTGAACACCTTCAATAACCACTGAGCCGTTGGTATTTTTCAACACCTGCGTCTGAGAGGCTGTTCCACTCTCTCCTGTGGATCCAGTGGCTTGTTTTTGGTTCTTCTAAATCTAAAGTCTCTTTTACTACAAAAAGGGGAATTTCAGTTTTTTTATGTTCTACGGTTTAGACCCTGTAATCAGTTTAGGTGGAATTACACTAATAATTGCATAGCAAAAAAAAAAAAAAATTTAAATCTAAAAATTTAAATCTATACCTAAGAACACCATCATTAGAAACCCAAAAGGCTTAAAGTGATTGTATACCTAAGAACACCATCATTAGAAACAGGATTATTTATCTAAAGGTAATTAAACTGTATTTACTGACACATGGTTTCAATGAAAAGATGAAAGACTTCATAAATACACACCTGATTGATTAATTAGTTTATTTATGTCATATTCTATATTAAAAATAGATGTTTTTCTACAATAAACAAAACCTATTGTTACAACACATTAATGACAACCTGTGAATCGCATGAAATGTCTAGTAATTTATTTAAAAATTGCTGATTGAAATATGTTTTTAATTAATTATTATTTTTAAAATTATGATTGAAAACACCACACAGTCTTAAACAAATCCACTCTGTATTTGCGACATATATCAGGTGATGCTGTTGGACTTCGCCCACAAAATGATGATGGTCATGAAGCTGACCAACAAGAAGCCGATGTAGAGGAGGAACAGCAGGCGGTCGATGACCAGCCCCACCTGGATCCACTCTTCTGAGCTCTGGCTCTGGTTCAGCGCCTTGTCCACGAGACGTCTGACAGTCTGGAGCTCCGTGCCCAGGACCTTCAGCTCCACCAGGGATCCGTCCGAACTCAGTGATCCTTCCTGCTCCGCACGAATGGACGGTTTCATTTCAACTGTGGAGGAGATACACTGACAGGTGAGATCAGCTCTCACTGAACTCCTAATGACCTCATCCATGGGTTTAGATCCTGTACTACCATCTGCTGCAGGATTGGAGATGACCGTGTCCTCCTGCCGACTGCTGGGCTTCAGAGGAAGTCGCACCAAAGGGCCCAGGATACGGAGAACCAACACTCTGATCCACCGAGGAAGTCGGGCGTAATGAACAGATCCACGCAGCAGGTTGGTGACAGCGATAGTCTCCAGGAGGCTGACCACCATGAGACCCAGGCACAGAGACAGGAACACGTCTGTCATCACAGGAACAGCAACAGTGAATGATTTTATCAGTTTGATTCCTGGTTTTCATCGTTCTTCCAAAAAGGTTTCCAGGATTTACATTGAACCTAAGTGAAGTTGCCTGCTGTTCTTATGCTCTGCTCTTCTAATAATTGTAATTATTACATTTCAATAAGATGATTCACTGGTTGATGGTTCACTGACTTATGAGGGGGATGGTGTTCCCAGTGATGGGCAGCATGTCGTTCATGTTGAGCATCAGGACGGTGTAGCCCAGGATGAGGGTCATCTTGAAGAGGGCTCTGTCCACGCTCTGTGGAGGCAGCAGGAAACTGAAGAGGTCGACGGTGACGAGGAAGCAGCTGGGGATCAGCATGTTCACCACGTACATGGTGGAACGGCGCCTCACTGAGATCTACAGCAGGTATGACAGGTATATAGATGAGTGTCAGTTTTTGCTGTTTTTATTTATGCATGACTGCCTGCAAATCCCTCAATCTACAAAAAGTCCCATTTTTCATATTTCTTTTCATTTAGAAACTAAAACTCGAAACATTTGTTTCATGGAAGATGTCGATTTTCTGAGTTTTTCCAGTTGTGTTCATAACAAATAGGTTAAATATCCATATTTTCAGTGTGTGTATAACAAATATGTTAAATATCCATATTTTCAGTGTGTGTTTTGAGTGTGTCCTCACATAGAAGCGTAGCTCCTCATACGTGGTGCCATTCTGTGTGCTCGGTAATTCAAACTTCTTCGCTGTGATGCCAATAAGTTCCCACTCACCCATGGTTGCGATCACTTCCTTAGACAGCTTATCTACGGTTTCTGCTGATATAGATAACTGAAGCTCGATTTCCGACTCTGAAAAGGACATTATAAAGTGACATAAACCTTTTAGAATAAGGAGCATATTAGTCATGTTTTTCTTTTCTTACTAAAGTAAAGGTAGGAGTTGAAGCTGAAAGTGCAGTTTTGTAAGTCAAAGGGAAACATGTAGATGTCCAGCTTGCAGGAGCTGATCACTCTGACAGGCTGTGCGTCCAAGATCCGGCCATCAGAATTAAGGTAGGAGTATGGTGCAGACGGAGCCGAGTTCTGGTCCATACTGCAGGGTGAGAAAGACGAAACACGTATCGAGGTTGGTAAAGTACCTTTCATATGTGTTGAACGGGAGAGAATGAACTCACAACTCATTGATGACCACATCAGGAACCCAGAGCAAAGTTCTGGGAACTGTGATCCAGGAGGAGCCACACTCTTCTGGATCCCAGCTGATGAACTCATTTTTCCAAGTCTGCAATGTGAACCCTTATTTTAGTGTTCCTAGGCAACAAAACTCAACACAATAGCACAGAATCAGAGGGTAGTAAATATTACTGTTGCACGGTATCATCCTGTACAATTCAAATTTATTCAAATATCAAATGAAATACTTACTAAAGTTTGCCAAATGAAGGTTTTGAGAATTTGAGCCTTTTCATCCTTAAAAAAAACAAAACAAAAGTCTCTTTAATTCAGCTGGAAATAGTTAAACTAAACAATCAACTTTGTTGTGTTTCTTATCTTTTTATAACAGGCGGCGTCTCCTACCACGCCTAAGATGCCAAACAGAATGAAGGAGATGTCGACGGTGGTCGGTGTAGATGAATTAATCACCGGTCGAATGGAATTCAGTTTGAAGACCGGCGTCAGAGCCTCCAGCAGAGCCAGCGTGTCGGGGCGAGAACAGTTCAGTGCAACGGAACTGCAACCAGCTACGGACGAGAGGACAGAGACGTGTACGTGCTGCTGTTGAAGGTCACAGTTTGTATTCAGTTTATAGTCAATATGAGATGATGACTGTAACTTAAATTACAGAGAATAATGTCAAAAAAATGTTGTTCTCTCTACTTTGCAGTTGAAAAACTAAAATGTAGTTCTTGGAAAAACACTGGGCGTAAACACCTACAAATGAATACAACAACTGCCAAATGGTATTTCTTAGTCAGAGCATGGGTGTGGTGATGTTCAAAATGCAGTATTATGTAGTAATCACGTAGTATTGAGAGATTGTCAGAGGGCAGCACTGACTAAAGTAATAATACTACAAAACACAGCTTTGTGTAAGTATCTGAACTAGTACTAGTAGTAGTATCTGTAAGTGAAGCTTGACTTACCATGCATGAGCAGAAAGGTGAGGATGAATAGAAGCTTAGACGACTTGACTTTCGGTGGGCAGCACTAAAAACATTTGGTCAAAAGTGCTGGTTAGTCTGTGTGGCCTCCAGGTTCTGAAAGCTGCCCTGAAAAGTTCCCTTTTAACCAAAAATATAAGTGAGCTCTGCTCTTATATTTCTATCAAAAAAAAAAAAAAAAAAAAAATCAAAAGTGTGATTTTAATTTGATTAGTGCTTTTTTTTCTTCCATTTTTTATAGTTAAATTTTGGAATTGGTTCTTTATATATAACATTGAGTTTGCTCTTTATACATATATTGGTAGAATAAATAAATAGATAAATATATTAGATGGCTAGATAGCTTCATAGCTAGCTAGCTACATAGTTAGCTTGCAAGCTATCTATATGTTTATCTAGCGAGCTAGCTTACTAGCTCGTTAGATAGACAAAGAAATAGATAGATAGCTAGATAGATCGATGGATAGAATTTTCAAATAAATTCCATTGAAAAAGTCAGAGGAAAATCCAAACAAGTTTATTCTTCAAACAGGGATTCCCTCCATTTCAGAATTCCACATTAAAACAGAAAAGGTTGAAATGGACTCCAGCTGTAGCCCTTAGCCTTTGCCATTGGTTAAATTATATATATATTATATAATGAACGTGTACATGATGTGTAGAATATACTGTCTTTACTACAGAAATGTTGCTTTAAGACAACGATTGACCAACACAGATACAAGGAAGACACTACCAGGACACTTTTTTGACATAAATGGATCCTTTCAAAAACAGAAACCAGCGTTTGCTAGTATGAGTTATACCACATGATGATGATAGTAATCACGCTGACTGTTATAAAGAAGATGTAGAGGCAGAAGAGCAGGCGGTCTATGATGAAACCCACCTGCATCCACTCCTCTGAACTTTGACTTCCACCAAAGTGCTGCTCCACATGCAGGCGCAGAGCCTGGAGGTCCTTGCTCAGACTCTTCAGCTCCTGCACGGCCTTCTCTTCCATTTCTGGACCCTGAATCTGTTCTGGAGTCTTCCCTTCAGCCGCAGGTTTTGCCTCTGCGGATCTTTGCTCCGGTTCTATTTTAAAAACCAGAAATCAAAAAGTCGGTTTAGAGAGTTTCCCTTCACTAGACATGCTTTAGTCATTCTGTGAACTCCAAAGTGACACCTGAGCTTTTAGGCTTGTAAGGCAGACAAACAAGTCTGCCTAGAATTTGGAAAATAAACACTTGGATCCAGTGAGGGAGAGAAGACACTTTGGCAGAGCCACACAGCAGGTTTGTGATGATGATCGTCTCCAGAAGACTGGCCACCATCAGAGCCAGGCACAGAGAGAAGAACACGTCTGTTATTGAAAAAAAAATTAAAAAAGAAGGAAAATCAGAGAAGGTAAAGTCTCAGTCTCAAGGTTTTACTGTTTGGCAGCTACGAAAATCTGTTTTCTCGCACATTAGAATTATCTAAATATAAAATACCCTCAGCCAAGTGTCAGTTTATGAAAATACTATTTTAACACTAATCTGACTTACAAACCCATATTTGTTTTGCAGGTACTCTTTCTAGGCCTGATGGTGTCATGTTTCCTAATATGGTCTGGGTTTTGGTCAAAGGAGAATGTTACATTGAAATAAATTGAATTTTTTTTTTCCAACAAACTTATGAGCGGTATCTTGTTCCCAGTGATGGGCAGCAGGTCGTTCATGATGAGCAGGAAGACGGTGTAGCCCAGGATGAGGGTCATCTTGAAGGAGGATCTGTCCACAGTATGAGGAGGCAGCAGGAAACTGAAGAGGTCGACTGTGATCAGGAAGCAGCTGGGGATCAGCAGGTTCACCACGTACAGAGTGGATCTGCGTCTCACTGAGATCTGTGGGACGATGAAGACACATTTATTAAGTTTTTGTCCATTTACTGATTTCACAGACAGTTCAAGTCAACATACATGGAATATCAGCTCGTCGATGTACATCATGTCATGCTGGTGTGCCCTGATCTTGTTGGTGGTGATGTCCAGCAGCTCCCACTCCCCCATGGTGGTCATGACATGCTTGGAGTGCTCTGTGATGTCTTCGGCACCTTTTGCCAAAAAAAGTTGAATATCTGACGCTGAGGAGGAGGAAAAAACAGCAGTGGATATACGTGAGTGTGAATTTAAAAAGGTGACCAGTTAAAAGTCACTTAAAGGTTACTTTTTTACAATTTTTCTTCTTTGCTGACCGCTGTCTGTTTCTCACCATAGTGGAGGTAGGAGTTAAAGGTCAGTGTGCAGTTCTGCACGTCAAAGGGGAAGTTATAAATATCAAGGTTACAGGAGCTGACAACTTTGGCCGGCTGAGCGTCACGAACTGTGCCATCGCTGTGTATGTAAATGTACGGAACATAAGGTGCTGTGTTTTCATCCATGCTGTGGACAAAGACAGAACAGAACAAAATGTTACCAACGGGGAGTTCAGTTTTAAGAACAGGCTGGAAATTTTCACAGAAAATATTATACTCACAACTCATTGATGACAATATCCGGCATCCAAAATTTATCTCTGGGCAGAGCAATTTTGTCGGTACCACACTGGTCTGGATCCCAGCTGATGAACTCATTCACCCACCACTGCAACAACAGCGTTGTTATGACTGCTATGACAACTATAACAGGGTGAGTCAAAAAGGTCAAAGCTATTTCTCTACAAATACTGAATTTAAGTCTAAATACTCTTGCAAGCAGAGTTTCCATCGATAATGTTTTTGTGGAATGTGGAGGATGTGTCTGGTACACGAAACGCCAGAAATAAACAAACCAGTTTTTCTGCCTTGTCCAGGAACTGAAATGGGGTTTCCCTGTAAAATTTTCTTTCTGTTTTTGAGAGGAGAAAGCTTTGCGGGTTTCTATTCAATATGCACTGAAACTGAAAAACAAAAACCTTCATCAATGCTGTTAGAGATGTAACTTAACAGGTTTTTACTTTTAATCTAACACCATTTCAAATGGTCTCTCTCTTATGGCTTTTTGATGTGGCCCTGTATTTCAACAAAATTACTAAAAAAAAAAGAAGCCCATTTTGAAGGTACATGAGTGATTTCAAGACTTACATAATTTATCCAAAGATAGGTGTTCAAGAGTTGAGCCTTTTCATCCTGGAAGACAGAAAACATGGTTGTAGAATGGATACTTCAGAGAACCTGCTGGGTGTATGTACGTCAACTGTACAAATGTCTTAACAAAGCCTGTGTCTTAGAGAGACTATACTTACTACGCCTAGAATTCCATACAAGGTGAATGAGGTGCTGATGTTGGTACAGGTCGACATGTTCATGACGGGCCGTATGGTGCTGAGGTTAAAGACCGGAGTCAGAGCATCCAGCAGGGATGTCTGGGTCGGCTCAGAGCAGTTCACCGTGAAGTCACTGCATTCAGCTGCTGTAAAAAGTCACAGGTTGTTCGCTTGTAATTTAACGAAACATGAACATGGCAAAGAATTTTATGGTCTTCAAATGTATGCAGAAGATAGAGATGTTAACAAACACTTACTGGACGTGAAAATCACAGCCAGGGTCAATGGAAATATAGGACGAAGCCACTGAAATCAACACAGACAAGAGCAGTTTTTTCAGAAGAGTAAAAATATGATACTGCAGTTTATACAGCTTTTATTTTGACAGGAGTAGTTCTTTACCTGCGCTGCCATGGTGAAAAGCGGGAAACAATTCTGTCCAAACTGAACTCAGTCTGAAGATATACATTTCGCAACTTGCAAATAACGTGGATAACAAGGCAGCTACTTTTCATCTGGGTGGTTTCATACAAAACAGAACAAACAAAACAGTTTGATCTTTGAAACCTCAGAGTGTGACTGGGAGATGGACGAGGACGGAGCCACAGCAGCATCGGTGTCACACCTGCTGGTCGGATGCAAATAGAATGGGGACGGCCAGTGAGACACAGGTGTCCTCTGGCGTGAGACAAACTACCTATTCGGTTAACTAAGTCTCAACCCAAGTAACTAGTCATCCGTTTGTTAGGCAACCTGTACACCTGTACAGCTACCTGCCTCGGAGCTAACCACCCTGTTGGACAGATAGAAATGTATGGACTTTGGGCTCAAGTGAGAAAGAATGACATCATAATGCATTTTGAATAATAATAATAATAAAAAAACATGAAACTGTAGCACGTGAAATGTATCTGGAACATTTAAGGTGTGAAACATGGAGCCAATGCAACGATGCAACATAAAATATAATTATACTTAGCAGCAGTATAACAGTAAGTATAACAATAATTTTAATTATTATCATATATCATAGGTAATATAGATATATAGATATAGATACATAAGATGAAATGCAATAGTACACATTAGTATCTAAAGACTAATAATAATAAAAAGTACAACAGCAGCTATAATAATGTAGTATTACCCTCAGAAACATGTGCCAAAAAGCTAAAAAAAAAAAAAAAATCCAAACACGCTTCTATTGGGTTTGAACATTTCAGCAAAACATAACATTAACGACATCTCAGTAGTGTTTTGTGAAATGTTGTGTTTTGACCTTCAGGGCCACCGTAGTTTCGAATCAACTGCTCCTAAAAAAAGAAGAAGGAAAAACAGCTGCACAGCCATAAAAAAAAAAAAAAAAGTAGGAGGAAATGAAACTTAAATCCTGTTTTCCTTTTCGGTTCCATTTCCCAGTTTTCCTTAAGTTTTGCTTCTTCTCCTTAGTATTTCATCAGTTTGCCGATAACAGTTTTCAATAATCAAAACTGAGAGAAAAGAAACTGAAAGAAAAACACACTTTATTTTGTTTTTCTGTTGTCAGTCGTTTATCTCTCCCACACCACACATTCTCATGCGTCATTATGACTGTGTTGGTTTCCAAATTACAACTGCACTGTTTTTTTTGTGATCAAATTTTTATTTTATATTTAGAGAAAATATAAAAACAGAAAGAATAAAGAGTATTACACATATGTGCCCATATTACAAAAATAAATAAAATATATATTTTTCATACAGACACCTTGATATGTATACATAGAAAATATGGAAATAATTAATAACTTAATTTCTCAGTCAGTATCACTGCTATCATCCATGATGTATAGTTAAGAATCAGTACATAACCTCTATTTCCGCCTCTTTTGCTCCGTGGACTCAAGGCTTCAAGCTTTCAAGTAAGACAGGTTTAAACACACCATGTCATGACTCAGCTCGGAAGGAACGTGTGACTATTTTTAACACACAATAACACATACATATTTGATATGTTTGTTTTTCTTTCTAGATTACTGCTTACCACCTACCAAAATGCACGTCCAACATGTCTGTCTGGCTGTTAGAACAGGTGATGTCATATCCCACCCTCATGTATTATAAAGGCCACTGACTGGAATTTATAACATGATTTGGTGTGATGCAAAATTTACCACGACACTCTGTGTCTTTCCAACATTTTAATACCTTCACACACTTCAGTGCAATGCCATTCATTTCATCATTAGGCAAAACAGCTTTACCTAATACATTTATGGTGGTAAATATTAAGATAGTTGCACAGGACAAGTAGGAATACAAGCAAGACAACGGTTGTGATAAATATTCCAAATATTAAATCTGAGAAAAAAAACCGAGGGTAACACATTATTGCAATTGCAAATAAGCATCAGCAGCTAATTAGAGCTGGAGAGCGTTATAAATAGCTTACTCTCTTGTACAGATGCCTGCCAAACATCCCTCACAGTGATCAGGCTCATGAGGACTCTTGACTTCAAGCTTCTCACGATTGAAGGTGCCTTGATCCAGTGATTCACCGTAACACTTGATTCTTATCTTTTTCACCAGATTCTTCATGAGGACGGCGATGTTCTGTGCATCTATATCTGGATCAACCATTGGGGCGCTGGTGCACCTCTTGCAGTTCTGGCGGAAGCGCCTCACTTTAACCTGGCCCTGCCCGTTCACCAGGGACATGTGAAAGATCACCATCACTCGGTTGGAAGGCCAGGCTCTGCGGCACCCGGTGCACTGGAACCTTTTAGGGACAAATGGCACTAATCAGTTAAAATGACAACAAATGGATCTGTATCTGGTTGTGCCTCTCTCCTGAGGAAAAAAAAAGGTTCATTATCACGTAGTTACGTGAGGCTGAGCCAATTTTTTTTTTCATAGTGTGGCAGCAATACACTTCCATACTCCTTCAAGTCAACACATTAAAAAAACCTTTCAGTTGCCACTTTGTTTAGAACTTTTTAAGACTATATAGACTGAGACTTTAATTTATTTACCTGCCTGTGCCCCCCATTTTGGAAACCCCTGTGCTTTAATTTAGCTATGTAATTGAGGGTCTAATTTTTCATAGATATATATACAGGATATATATAGGATAAAACCACTGACCTTGCACTTGTGCTCCTGATGTACCCCTTCCATCCCTGTTGTGGCTGTTCGGATATAATAGAGTTGTCAAATTCCAGATTCCAGTTGTCACCATGCAAAAGTCCATTGGCTTCTCCCTGGAAGATACGACTCCAGTCCGGCAGTGACAACATTCTCTCAGTTTCTTAACGCACGACTCAGCTGATGTCTCCACTAAAGATGCAGCTCGGGTTTGTGACGCATCACTCCGGTTCAACAGGCCTTTATTGACTGGGAAGGGAAACTGAAACTTAAATTTCGGTTTCCTTAGGTTTCTTATTACCATAGAGACCAAATATTGTCATCTTGGCATATCCCAAGTAACCCGATGATTCACAACACATTCTGGAAAGATGTGAAGCGTTTAAGGGCATTGCAAATATTGCACATGAGCAAAATTGAATTTAGAACATGAACACAGCAATTAAAACAGCACACGAGAAATATACGTTTTGAAGTAAAATGCTTCATTTTGGACTAAATAATATTTCAAATGTTGAATTGTACTTAAATGTTAAACATTTAATTTAACTAATCTCACAGACGCAGTGAAGAGTAATTCGTTTTCCGTTTCGATCGAGCGGTAGTGGCACCTGCTGGATGAACTACGGTACTACAGGGGTTTGGGGGAACTTAGGTTGTACAGTAACATTGATTACGGGCACCTTATCTTCTTTCAGTTACCGAAATGTACGAATTAAATTTGACAAATGTTTGGTTGAATTGTAGAAGGCACATTATATATAATGTTTCTGTGATCACCGGTAGATGTTTAGTAAAAAGGTGAAAAATTAATCATGCTTTTGAAGGTCAACAAAACAAAAACAAACAAACAAACAAAAAGACAGCAGGGATGTGGTGAAAAAGACAAAGTTCTGCTCATACAGAATGGATATGCAGGTAGCACGGAATTTGGATCAACACAGTAGTGGAAATACCCGTGATCTGCTGACAGAAGCAGATCTCGGGTATTTCAAAATTTAAAATTATGGCTGTGGTAAAGCAAGGTCCAATACTTCTGAACATCTATGGCCAACAGTCAGGTAATTTTATTATATTCCAAAGTCCCAATTTATAAAATGGCTAACACACCAGAGTGTAAATAGCGTAGTAGCGAAAATACACCGGCGTCACTTTTGCAACGTGGCTATGATTTTTAAAGGGCGCAGCCGTACACTAGATAGTTCATAAATATCGAATATATATAGAAAAGTCACTTAAAATGTCACAACGAAAGACCGTTATTCATTATGCTCTTATTTTGAAACAGGAAACTGACGGTTTGTCGCTATGGTAACGTTTCAGCTAACGTTAGCCTCTTAGCTTCGGTGTACCTGTATCTCTCGCGTTATACCTCATAGTGTTTATCAATTTATTATCAATGGAAGGCTCCGATTCATACCTCATACGACCTAATTACCAGCACAAGTGAGTCGGCCATATTGTTTATTGTCGACTGTAAAGTCAAAGTTAGCTTTTAGCCAGTGTTGTGTTTACTGATAACGACATGTTTATTAATACAGTCAGCGCAGTTGCGTTTCTTCTAAAAAAGTAACCAGCAAAACTGTCGATAGGAATCACGTGTACTGGAAAGACTGTGACTGTGAAACTTATTTGGACGAGAAAATTGAGCAGTGATGTTTTTGTTGTCTCCGTGTTCCTAATGTCCTCACTGAATTTACCAAGTTGAATTTATCAAGTTCTCACTGAATTTATCCAGTTAGTTCTCATTAGTTCAGTCACTGGTTCTCCCTCTATTGTCTATTACCTTTATATGATTTATTAAAAAGACTCAGAGTGGATGTCAATTGTTGACAAACTGCTGTGATTTCACATTTCTGTCCTTCTTTGTTGCTGCCTGCTGAATCTTGCAGATTTAAACCAGCCGTTGTGAAGGAGTGCATTCGTGAAATAGTGAGAGAGCGATTGTCTGGTGTGCAGTACGACCCCGAGCAGGTCTCAGAGTTGTCCCGTTCTCTGGCAGATTGCATTAAGGACAAAGTAAAGAGTGAGTGATTTGATTTTGCTTTAACATGTCATTCTGGGACTCTGTTGCTCTCTGATGTCAACTCTGTCACACTGAAGTGACTGATGACTGATGGGACTTCCTGTACTTCTCTGTTTCTGAGTGCTCACATAGGAGGAAACTGTGCATTATGGATTGAGGAAAGCAAAAAAATCACTATCAGTATGTTCTGTTTCATCTAAAAACAAGCATAACAATGAATGAAATGAAGTTGGTTTTTGAATGTTATATTCTAAAAAAAGAGTCCTGGGTTCGATTCCCAAAGACTTGCCTGTTAACACCATACAGTATATGCTGTGAACGAAAAGAATTTCCCAAATATGAGATCAAAAAAGTTCTAATTATTATTATTATATATTTTATTCAACTAAATTTTCACTCTCTTTGTGGTCAGACACATTATATTTTTATATAACATTATATTTATATTTAATATAAATTCTGGGCTGCTCATATTTTTTAATGGTAGAACAGAAACATTCAAACCTTAAGACTGATATAATTTACATTACATTTCAGGACAACAGACATCCACATAACATTTTTTCATATTCATATTTTCATTCTTTCTGATACCTAAAGCTTCTTTTGTCACAGCGAAAGCCTGTCCTACATTCAAATGCCTCCTATATAGAAAAGTAATTACACGTGTTCCAAAAAGTGGCATTTTTCTTTGTGTCTGTCCTCTTTGTGGCAGCATAATTTAGTCTTTGATTATTGAGAAGAAAAATCACATCCTGTGCGTGGGACCTGTCACACTGTTGTGCATCGGCTTATTTCTCTTTTCAACAGGTGCTGGATTTGACAGATATAAGCTTGTTGTGCAGGTGGTGATAGGAGAACAGCGGGGGCAGGGAGTCAAGTGAGTGTACTGTACCATAAATAAAGTCCGTTATACGGCAGCGTACTGTTCTCTGAGTATGAATTTTATTAAATGTGATGTAAAAAGTGTGACCTTTTTGACCTTTCCCACCTTGGATTTCCAGAATGTCATCCAGGTGTTTCTGGGATGCAGACACCGACAACTATGCGGAAGATTTATTCATGAATGTAAGTGTTTTCTTTTTTGTAGTGTGGGAATAGGAGGGAAGGCAGTTTTTTCTTTCTTTATTTTTCATCTCTGTGTTTTACCTCACAGGACAGCTTGTTTTGCCTGGCGGCAGTTTTTGGAAGCTATTACTACTGAAGATGAGAGGATGGATAACAGATGTCTCAGGTGAAAAGCAGTGAGGTGAACATCTGCTACCAGTAATGTACTGTGAATGTAACATTTTTGTTTGTTTGGAAATCAAAACACCTGCTGCATCACTGCAGTGGTGATGGACACCTGTGCTTGAAGCTGCTCTGCAGTAAATGGACACGGACTCTTCGGGGACCTCCTCATTTTCCCCAAGCTTATTCTTTTAATGGCAGTGAATTTATTTGTCCTAATGTAGAAAAAAAAAATATTGTGAATTTAAATAACCACAAACGACTCAATAGGTAAATAAATTGTAAATTTAAATAACCACAAACGACTCAATAATTTGTAACATATTTGTTATAAATAACCGAACGATGTACTTACTTTTGGCGATATGCACCGCCAGCTACAGTGACCAATGAAAAACATAAAAATAAAAAACAAGATTTTCAATTAACAGGCAAGGGAACATAAGTTAAACTTTATTTTATAGATTATGTTCTTTTATTTGAAGAGAAGGGAAGTTAAACCTTATTTTATAGATTATGTTCTTTTATTTGACCAAAGTGGTTCACAAGTGCATATAGTACATAAAGGAGTACTTATCATAAAACTATATTAGGGAAGACATCATTTTCATTTGTCATTTTGAGCTTTCACACCACACGTGTGCTTTGGTTTGGTTTATAAATATCGAATATATATAGAAAAGTCACTTAAAATGTCACAACGAAAGACCGTTATTCATTATGCTCTTATTTTGAAACATGTATATGTATATGTAGTATTAGAGTGACTAAAAATACTTACTATATGTGCACAAAGTATGCACTACTTCAACAGGTTCTCATCATTACTTCTGGTGCTGTCAAGTTGGCCAGTTGTATTTGTGTGATGGCAGTGACTCATTTTTATTTATTTATTTTTAAATATTGGTCATTTTCCACTCATCTCTTCCAAAGCATCTCTTTCTGGGAAAACTAGATGTCTTTCAAAGTATAAAGAGTAATGAGACAGAAGTGAGTAACTGAGGGATCACGCCCACCTGAAGTAATTAGTTCAATGACTCACACGCTCATTGCATAAACATGCCTTAATGGGATTCATTGGATTTAATGCTTTGAAATGTACGAACCAGTTGTGATTGATATGTTAGTAGCTTTCATATATCAGTGACATCAATAGGAATGACACTCACATGATGTTTTCACTCACCCAACTCATTCACATATATCAGTTTCAAGTTTGACTGAGAGAGTTAGGTTCTAACTCTCTAACACAATTTTGAATGAAATATTATGATCTTTGATTTTCAATTTACTCACAATTTACCTACTCAGTGTGAAGCCTAGGCTTGTTTAGTTGAACACAACCATAATGCATATGTATACTGGCAGGAATTGAAGAAAGACAATTGAAGATCCTCTTCAACTGTCTAATTTTGTTTTGTTTTTATAGCCATCTTCTGCCACCTAGTGGAAGAGTTTTGAGTGTTTGTTGCATTGGTAAAATAAGACGTTATTTGCAGTAATACTACTAATAAGAATTTTTTAAATATTCACTTTTCAGAACTTCTGAAAAGTCATAGAAACATAGTAAAAAAAGCTTCATCAGAGTAAAACTGATAGTAGTCTTCAGAAGATTTAAGTTAAATTGGATAATTTGTTGTTTCAAGATGTGAAAAGTTACATTTGTCTAGTGGGCTTAGACCTTTTTTATATTCCGATTCAAGTTTTACTTCTTGAACCACAAAGCTTTGTTTTTAAATTTTTATTGGAGCTGAATTGTCGCCCTAACCTACAATACCGTGTGTTTAGTGTAATAGTAGCTGTGCATCATCGGGCAGGAAAGAGGCTGTTTACCGTCCGCTCCAGTGGGACCACATGCTATAGGGTAGCGTCTTATCTCGAACATGGATTTGTCACATCTAACAAACATGAAACCATATATACAGCAACTCAGTGCAACAACATTGTCACTATGGCAACTGTCACCGGGGAATAGAAAAGGCTGCTGGACGCTGTTCATGTTTTCACAGCTTTGCTATTGACCAACAGTAACAGAAATGAGCAGTTACTACTTTAAGGTTTAAATGCAGGCACCTGTGCAAACACAGCCAATACCATCATCATTTCAGAGGGATGTAGATTCATATCACTTGTCATCTAGTTAAGCTTTCCTTCTCTCTCACAGGCTTACACAGCAACTGGAAGTCCTGCGAATCCTTCAAACAACCTGGATTATACTCAGCCGTGTCCTTTCTACTGTCTGCAGTCCTACAGTACAGGCTAAAGTAGACGTGGGCAAGCTACGACCCGTGGGCCAGATGCGGCCCGCTTGGCTTTCTGATCTGTTCCACCACTCAGTGGTACAACGTATAGTAAAGTCTGGTTTAAATCCCTGTTGTAAGGATTGCAATTTCAGTTAATGCCACTAGATGGCGGCAGACAAAACGATGTGCCAAATTAATCTTTGGCTAGGTCAGTCAAGCCAGTCAAAATTTAAAACTAATTTTGATTGGTGAGCTAAAGGATGTATTGTGATGGTCTGTGTTACAACTAGTACTGTATGTTTCATATCAGTTCTTTCTGGACGACATTGAATTGCATGGGCTTTTAGTTCTCTACTATAAAATGTTCTGTCATTTTGTTTTTTCTTTTTGAACTGTGAACTTTCTGAGTCTTGAACTCAGTACATCACTAACATGTCCATATGTCTTTCCCTTGTGTTCAAATATAAAATAAACTAAGAGATGTAGACCTTGTGGCGTAGTGTGATCCAACACAGTATTGACTCCTCACCTGCAGCTGCACGTGAAGCACAGTCAGAGTTCAGCTCTTTACCTGTTTGACACCATACGTCCTTAAACGGCTGCTCTCTATTCCACATATGTCCATTGACTGACTCCCCTGAGGCTCTTTGTAGTGATTACATACAGGTACATTGATTTTTCAGAGAAATCTCTCGGGCTAAAATTGTTTTCCGGTTTAAAGCCAATGGAATTACTCAGACACCTGTCATTCAAAACATAATCCATAGCTGCTGTGGCTGTAGAGAGAGAGAGAGGGAGAGCAATTCCCTTTACAGTCTAACTATGGGGGGAAAATGTGAGGCTGAGTGATGTTGAAGGGGCCATTACTGCAGGCACCATGACTAAATACATTTAATGGTTGAGATGCTCAGAAATAAACCACACGATGACTTTCATGGTCTTTATGAATCAGTGATTTGTTTCAACTTTCATTCCTTCTGTGCACATTCGTGGCCACATTACTCTCCCAGGACCCAGTCATGGTCCTGTGTTCTAATTGACTCTGACAGATTGAACATCAGCACGTCACACATCACTATCCCTTTAATCATTACACTTGATGTTGGAGTGCTTTTTAATTTGAGCCTTTTGTGGTTTCAGTGTGTGTATGAGGACGTGCCGTCTTTACTGTCTTTTACACTGAATTCTGCTTCAGTGGTGATTTTATGCACCACCTCCCCATAGTAGGATTATTAAAGATTTAAATATACATGCTATTCATGAACAGGACAGTCTTCAGGACAGCGTTAAGGTTTTCATGTTATGGTCTTGCTGTCACAGCAGTACCTACTTTGGAGGATTTGCATTTCATAAAGGTTATTCATCAAAGCAGGAGCAGCAGGGAATGTCACCAACTTCCCCACATACAGTATGTCTATATCCACACACACACACACACATATATATATATATACATATGTCATCTTCGCCTTGAGCAGTGCAGGCATCTGACGGTTCCATCATTACAAGATATTATGGATATTATACAATGTCTCGGCCGAAGATAATTTGATAATTTTTCTCAGATGTAATGCAGTAATTTGCTGCAAATGCATCGCCACTGGTTACATGTTTGTTTCCCAAAATACAAATTTCTAAGCCTATTATTATTGTAATTTTCATATGGATTAACAAGAAAAAAATCTTTAGGTTGTTTTGCGCCACATTGAAATTGAATTATTTTATTACAGTAACGAGGGAAAAAATATAAATATATAATTCTATTAATCATGTGTACAAATGCGCTTAATCCAGCCTAAAAATACAACATGTAATCAGTTTCGTTACAACAAATGCAGGTTATGGATATATATATATATACATATATATATATATATGACCTACATGCAATGACAATCGAAGAAAACAAATGGTTTAGAGTTGGCCGCCTGGGAACATGCGTCATTATAATCCTTTAAGAGCTTTTTAAAGCTGCTTTTTCTGTAGGGGCCACAGTGATGTGACGAAAAACGCAGTGGCTTACACTGGACATTTACACAACAGCACCTCGGTGTAAAGTCTACAACGTTGTTGATCGATGTCTCCGTCCTCGTTTAGCATACCAGTGATAAAATAAAAAATGTTTTTTTCCCTCCCTGGCATGTATGTGTTTCATGAGAATAAAAAAACAGGGAAAACTAATATCCTGTCCTCTTTGACTCAGGGACATGACATGAATCCTCGGGGCGTTGTAGTCATTACATAGATGACTTTACAGATTGTCTTATTCACTGCTGTCTCATTCTCAGTAAATCGACAGTGTCTAATATGCATGTGTGTGTGTGTGAAATGATCCTGATATTCGGGAATTAAATATTTTTATATATATATATAAGGAAAAACATAAAACCTAATAGAAAAACATACAAATGTGAACTAGAAAAAATATATAGAATAAAAGTATTTTCTTGAATGTCAAGAGCTTTTACACATCAGGGAGAGGAGAAGAACTTTTTTATTCTTCTAGAATAAAGTGTCATAATTCTAGAAATTATGATATTTAGTGCTAAGCCTGCTCCGCTGTGTGACATTTGTGAATAATTATTTTAAAGGTTTTGACATTCAGCATAAAATGTGAGTCACCTGTGCAAACATTCCTGTCAGTGAGGGATTTGAGCATTCTAGGAACCTAGCAGCAACGAAAGTTCTATAAAAATAATTACATGGAAATTAGAAAACTTTCTCACCAGTCAAATCATTTTTTTCTTCATTAAAAAAAAAACAAAAAACAAATTAAATATATGAAATGAATGCCAACTAGAAACACACAGAAACCCCCCCCAAATCAAACAGGAGCTTTTTTATTAAGGTATTTCCCCCCCTCTGTTTGGTCTCCCAATGGACTCTTCCACTTCCTGTGTGCCAACCTTAAAATGGCTTCTCTACCAACTCTTCAGATTTAAGGAACTAAAGAAAAAGACTGGTGAGTCAGTGAAAGTTTGTTTATTATAAATAAAGTGTGTGAACTTAAGCACAAAGATATGAACTAAATACTGTATAGGTTTTTGTAATATTTAATGATATATAACAGTAAATACCTCCACAGTCTGGTGGAACATGGTGTTGCCACCATTTTGTGAAGCACTTAGCAAAAATACATGGCTATAAAAACTACTAACATAGTTTAAACACACACTCTTTGACTTATTTGACATTTTAAAACATTATTTCCCTGAAACTGAAAGTGAATTTGTTTTCCAAGGCATGGTTCTGTTCTGAGCTTGTTTGTTTACTTTCTCCTACCTGTGAATTTGTTTTCCAAGGCATGGTTCTGTTCTGAGCTTGTTTGTTTACTTTCTCCTACCTGTTTGTATTTTATTTATTTTTTGAAATCGATTTGCTTTGCTACCATTGGAAAACCAGCTGTTTGTTGTGAAAATGACGTATCTTGTTGGCAAAAGTTATTCATTTACTCTTGTTATGCAATGATGTTAATGTAACAACGGCTTAAAGTTCAAGGTTGGAGTTCTTGGAGTCTCTATTGTGTGTCCATTTTTCTTTTTTCTTTTTCAGTATCTGTAGTCAATGTTCTTCCCATATATATATATATATATGTAACACAGCTTAACCCCAGAGTTCAGGGCCTTGTACAGCAGATGGGCTGTGTGTCTGTGTTGACAATAAACCGATCGACACGGAGATGTGCCAATGCATTAATACGATCTTATTTTCCAATCTTCACTGTGCCCTCTGGGGAGACACGGCTCTAAGTATTTCACCAATGTCTTGTGTTAATAATCTGTCTGGCCAATGGGTCCAGTGGCGTCAAGCATCTGGCTACCCTCGAATCGGCAACTGTGCGCATTAATCAATGTTTTGGAGTGTGTGTGTGTGTGTGTGTGTGATTGTGTGTGTGTGTGTGGGTGGGTGTGTGTGTGTGTGTATATATATATATATATATATATATAGATAGATAGATAGATAGATAGATAATTATATATTCACTATAACCTAGGGTAAACACACCAGTGTGTGTGTGTGTTTTATTTGATGTGATTGATTATAATTATTTTACTTAATGAATGACGCTAAGATACAACATCAGTACGTTGCTTACAGCATAGACGTCGTTTTGCCATGGGCACCAGCGGAAAAATGAACTGTGTGTAACTAGAATACAAGCTGTGTGAGACTTTGAAAGGTCACGTCGGCAATGATTAACCCTTTAATTCTCAATATTTGTGCACATATGATTTACACCTGTCGTTAAGTCAATGATTTTTTTTTAAAAAGCATCATATACCAACGCAGTGCAGTACACAGTGTACTGTGTATATAAATACATCTATGTGTGTGTGTATGCATACAGTACTATATGTCCTGTATAGCAGATTGGTATGAAGTGGAATACTAAGGAAATCATTATAGAAAAGATTGTCTTTTCTATAATGATTTCCTTAGGATTCCACTTTGCTTCATTATTAATTTTCTGCCTTTCGTCCTTGAAATGTTGGAGACATGCTGTAAAACCACACAGTGAGCAATAATCAGCAGCGCAGCTGAGGCTCAGAACGATGACTTTCATTTACTGCAAGAAAAGCTTTGTTTTGTAACAGCTTCATTCACACCTACCAACACAGCAGGGAAACAAATCACACCGGCTGCACCTGAATTCAGCTTTTTCCTAGTTATGAAAACAACCTTTTAATGACACATATATCGGGTGTAAATGGATTGTAACAGACGGTAACCCCCCCTTCCCCCATACACAGGAGCACTGGTAATGATGTCAGGAGAGACTGGAGGAGACACTGTTCCCAGATAACATTTGATTCAGGAACCAGCATCAATGAAATCAGGGCCTCCTCTGATGATTATACTACATTTTACTCAAATGCTTTTACATTAGTAAGAAAAAAAAGGCTAATTTGTATTTTTTAGGATATCCATGTACTGCCTTGACAGTCGGTACATCCAACTCTGGATGTACCGACTGTCAAGGCAGTTAATAAAATTCTCAGATTTTCACCATCATCAGCCATAAACTTAAACATCTACGTCTGCAGTTAATTATAATTAATCAATAATTTCCTTTGATATTTTACCTTCAGTGTGTTTTGACAGGTCAATTAAGGAGGGGAAAAAAACTCCTCAGTGAATTCATTCAAGAGAAAAGGTTAGATAATAACTGCAGCTAAAACTACTCTGTTCTTTTCTTCACCTAAATCACATCCTCTTTGAATACTTTCTTGTCCAAAATGACAAAAGGACCGGTGCTTCATGATAATAGCTGTTTGAAGTACAACCACGGTGGATGTTTCCAATTAAACTGTCATCACACTAACCTACAGTGGGTTATCTCGTCTTCTCAGACCCAACTCAGAGACAAATGACGGCCTTTTTAAACATTTATTTCTAACGCTTCAGTCGTCCAAGGATTACAACAAGGTTTTGCTCTTGACGGCAACAGACACAGATCTTTAGGCATCCAACATCTAAAGCTCGGCAGTGGCGATCACAGCACTTAGACATGACGCAAAGAGCAATAAAAGTACTGAATGTAAATACATTTTGGGATCAAGATGACTCATGCACCTAATTTGTCAATGTTATTTACAGCATTCTAAAGAACACAGTATTGAACAGAGTGGAAATTACAACCTGTACAAGAAGAAGATAATTAGCAAAAATGTATCACAGCATTTGACGGAGCAGAATAGCAGCAGCAGTTCACTGGAATATAGCAACATTGGTGTGTATATATATATATATGTATATATATATATTTTGTTTTTTAGCACGATATATGAATATACACAGTTCACTAGTTCATTGACTTGCCAAACATCTAGTATAGATAACGATGCATTTTGACTCTTTTTTTTTATGCATTATGTTCACTTTAAATTCTAGTACTAAATACTATTAAACGATTTCTTTAATCAAAGTAAGCACAGGGTAGCTGTGGTTTAATTAATCCAGATGAATGGACATTCAGAAATATGACGAAACCTGACTTTCTTTTTGGTGTATGGATGGAACAGGGACAAAAATAAGTTGGGTAGATCAATGTTTACTTTATTTTTTTGTTACTTATCCAAATTATGGAATAATGGAATTATTTATATGGAATAATGTCAAGAATATTTTGCAGTGAGTTGCAAGTACAACACAAAAGTTTGTTTCATGAAGTTTTTTTTAGTCACTGCTGTGCATCAGTGGTTTTTGTCTAGTGTTTCTTTCAAAACTTTGGTGACGCAAATATGAATTGTTTTACACTCCCTGCATTTGGCAGAAGTGTCTGTCAGCCGTCAACCTATTTCATATGTTAGATACTTTATTTATTATATATATTATATACACAAGCCAGGTGTGACTGCAAGCTGAAGCCTCCACCAACGCATGCTTGTCGTTGAGATGGTATCACAAGCACGAGAATTATTATTGTATTTTTATAGTGGATCATAGTTTGCACTGTGACATATGCACAAGTAAATAGGAGAAAGGAAAGCGGCCATGTTCTGTTTGTGGTTTAAAGTTTCAAAGTAATCATAAAAGTAACCGGTGTTCCAGTTACACAACGATATTGCAGTATGTTTTTCGACCTTGCGCTTCTTCTGTTCGGCTTTTATGTTTTTAGCTGATGCATTTGCTGTGTGTGAGGGTGTAGGACTGAGCTGGTGGAGTTGAGTCAGGAGAGTGAGAACACCATAGTACCTAAAGCCATTAGGCCAAAAAAGTGGTCTCCTCTATTATTTTTGCTTCTCTATCTTCTGCCTCGCCTTCAACTGCGGCAGCTCCGTTGCTTTGTGGAGCATCGCTCAGAGTGCTGCGGAGCGTCACCCGGGTGACACTGAGCGAATATTTCCTGGGGGTTGCGTGGTGTTGACGGTGGCACATGACCTCCTTGAACATTTCTCTGAACCGCGTGGACATGAGGTTGTAGAGGACAGGGTTGACGGCCGAGCTGAGGTAGAAAAACACCCCGGAGATAACGTGCACATACTGGAAGATTTCCAGGTGGTTATCAGTCCAGTCGTGAATTAAACTCCACATGAGGCGGTCGGTGTGGAACGGCGCCCAGCAGATTCCAAACACCACGACTAACACAACTGCAAAACACAGCAGGAGAAAGAAAAACACATGAGTCACAGCCGGGGGGAACCTAATAGCATCACATTGATTGATGTGCCCGACACGCTCCCTGTGCTCTCCATTAAAATGTCCCCGTCAGGGCTGAGTGTCAATGATCACTGTCCTGAACTCGCAACCTTTGATTTGGTTCCAGAAAAAATACTCTTTTATTCATTTTTGCAAACTAATTGGAAAGCTCGTCTTTGAAGTCCTGAGCACTTTTTAACAGGGGCTTCACAGAGAAAGAGAAGTCGATGTGCAGCAGCAAAACAAGTCAAAATCAATTTTATTTATTTATTTATTTTTTAAATTTCCAGTCCACATAATTGGCTTTTGTTCTTGAGGTTGACAATTATTTGTCTCCTAGAGTTTCTGAATTAGTTTCTCCAGGATGGGGCTCAGAAGAGCTGTAGCAGGTGTGTCAAAGGCAGTGAGAGGCACCAGGGTTACAAAAATACAGAATTTTACAACAAGTCATTGGTTCAGCCGGGGAGGGAAGGACTCGGTGGCACAACCTGTCCCCAACCTGTGGACTGTCTTTGAAATTCCTTCTATTTCTCTCTGCAACCCTGACAGGGATGAACAGGTAGATGGACGGATAATGTTTTTTTTTTTTTTAACTGAATGAACTGAAGTTTTCCCCAGGGAAAGGAAAGACTGTGATACTCACATAACATTTTAGTCACCTGCTGGCGTCGTGCCTTCTGCTGCTGTGTACGAATGTTACAAAAGCTGTCCTTTCCAAAGCCCGACTTTGCCTCGAGAGCCTGATGCATCTTCTCCCTCTTCAGCTGAAGCCCAATCAGCAGGTAGAGAATGCTGATGATGAGCATGGGAAAAGCAAAAAACAGCAAAGTGGTCACTTGAATGGTCAGATTGTACATCCACAGGGGTTTGACCAGAGTACAGATGGCCGAATCTGGGATTTCCACGTTCACAGGTCCAGTGGGGCCTGTGGTTTGACTTTGAAGGACAGCGATGCCGTGTAGACCGGTGTTGGGGATGGCACACAGCACCGACACCCCCCACACTGTGATGATGACCCGTTTGGCGTGGGTTCTAGTCACGACATACTTTGCCCGAAGTGGATGCACCACTGCGATGTAGCGCTCCACGCTCAATGCTGTGACGTTGAGAATGGACGCCAAGCAGACCGTCTCGAACAGGAACGTTTTGAAGTGGCAGCCAGCTTTCCCAAAGAGGAACGGGTAGTTCTGCCACAGCTCATACAGCTCCAGGGGCATTCCGAGGAGTAGCACCAGCAGGTCCGACACCGCGAGGCTGAACAGGTAGTAGTTCGTCGGGGTCCACATCACTTTGTTGCGTGCAATCACAGTACAAGTTAGGACGTTGCCCAGAACTCCCACCATAAAAATAACCAGGTAGATGAGACAGATGGGGAGGAACGCAGAGGAACGACGAAGACCCAGGTACTTCTCTAGGTACCTGCTCAAACACGCTTCGTCCATGTCGACGTGACTGCTGTTTATCGAGGTAGTCAGATTGCTACACGTTTCCCCTAGAGGACACAGCCAGCCGCCTTTTTCGGACATCATATCGAAGGAGCAGTTAAAAGTTGCCATCTTGCTAAAAGGGTGTCTGAGGAGAAGTAAATTAGGTCAAACAGTCAGTCGTGTGACAGTGACATTTAAAGGCAAAAAAAAAAGGAACAAAAAAATTATAATGATTTTACAACAACACACAACTGAGTTCAAATGTGTCGATGCCTGCGAATGTGCAGCTACGAGAAATCGGATTTGGAATTAATCCTCCTCATATAGATCCCTTTGGATAAAACCGTCTGCTAAAAATTCACATCTATAAGGTTTTGATTGACGATAGAAACCTGTGTCCAGTCACAGGCTGATCCTGACGAGTTGTTTTTTTATTGCTCGTCTGAACAAACATTTACAACAAATGTTATTCCACTAAATATCATTAATGGGAAAAGCTAAAATAATGAGACCAAAATGTCCTCTGCGATGAGTTCATCTGGTGACTCACTCTGGGAGAGTTCACTTTAATAAACCTGTTTTGAATATATCAAAAAACCAAAACTGCATTAGGCTAATGCACCTCAGAACGACACTCTGTGCCAGATTGAAATGTTATGTTTTTTTTTTTAGTTCTGTTTACTACACACACATTCAGCCAAAGCTGAAGAGGCAGTGAATCATCCTTGAGTTTATCAGTGCAGTAGCTGAATGAGACCCTAAAGAGCCATGTGTTGCTACATCAGTGTATTCTTTCACGAGGTTTTCCACTAAGTTTCTTTGAGGTATTAATGGATGTATCATGGAAATATGCGGAAATCATCAGTGCTGTGATAAAAGTGTCTTCTGTGTGACTCGTCTGAGGATGTGGAGGTGGATCCATAATATTCTTGACTCTTGAGTCCTGAAGCGATGACTCATTCGATCACAGTGACCATTAATGGCAGGTATGGTACTTTTCCATGTCACCTCAGGACTGTGCAGCAGCAAAATCCATCTGAGCAAAGATTTACTTATTACACGTGCTGAATCCTACAAGTGGCCTTTTCTGACTGCAAATGTTGAGCCGTGATAAATGACCTGTGGAAGCTGACATTCTCTGAGGAGACTGATTATTGAAACGCCACCTGATTGGAGTTTAGATATTTATTTTTTTCATTGATCATTACCATATTTGTCTTTGAGCTTTATCACCTTGTCGACATAAACAGTTGATGATAGTTTCTGTAGGATGGAAGCTTTCTGATTTCATGACATTATCATCAAAGTCATGTCGCTGCCAAAAGGTTCCATGTCATCCATATACAGTGTATGCCGCCAGCCTGGAGATCAAACGGCAGCCTGTCTGTGAATATTAGGACACGTTTAATGATCACAGGTCCAGGGACAGATTAGCTGAGTCATCACGTACCGTTCTTCCATCATAACGTTTTTATATAATATTTGATATTAAGATTTGGATGATGGGGAAAACAGGAATTTATTAAAAATATGTATTTATTCTGATTGAAGTTAATCTGTAAGCAGCCTTAATGATAGTCCTGGGGAAAATCCTATTGATTGGTCCAGTTGGATGTTAGGAATGTCTGAAAGTCTTTTTTTTAAATTTTATTTTAGTTTTAAGTATTTTAAAGGATCAGTGCATTTATGTGGTAAATGTTGAGTATATTCTACACATTATCAAGTTGATTGTACGGAGTTGATTTAAAGGCAAATGTCTAAATTAAATCAAATCAAATTAAATTCAAGCTGTATGTTAAAAGAAAAAAAACATCCATAAATGGTCCAAGTTTGGAGTTTCCAAAACAAGTGATAAAAATGAGGAAAATAGGAACAGAAAGGTTTTCACGGCAATTCAACGTGACTAGTTGTTGATATTTATTTTTTTAATTTTGGAAATATGTTTTTGCCATTCATGTGATATATCAATCAGATGCCTGTCTTTCTGCGTTTCATTGAGATGCTGTTCATCTCTGCTGTCTGAACCCCCCCCCCCACACTAATCAAACCAGCATCAGTTGTTGGTGGTATTAAGGCACCACATCAACCGCTGTAAAAGTAGCAGAACACCAATTACCATTCTCCACTGGCTTTGAGTTTCAGTAGAAGCAGAAAATGGGTTGGCTTGTCAATCAGATAAAAATTCGATTGCACTGAATGTCAATCAGAGCATTTGCTGCACCCCGTGGCTCACTAGCATTCAGCGGACATTGCATTAGGACCAGCGTGCTTTATTTAATGGGCCGAAGGAAGTCGGTGCGTGTGTCTCAGAATACATTAGTGTGAATCAGAGCGCGGCAGGTGAAAAGGCTAAGATATGAGGAGAGGTAGTGAATAAATCCAGGTCCAGAAGTCTTTGGGTTACAGTGGGGAAATGGTGGAGTAGAGAAAAACATAAATGACAAAAACATAAATGCTTGGAAAGAAGTGGGAATATCGATGAATAACGCAGAGCTGGACATTGAGCTGTGGCACTAAAGATGCTTGGGTTTTTTATTGTGATTGTGTGAATTTGTAAGGAGATTTAGATTTGTGCCGAGGAGAGATGGTGGATATATGGGTCAAACGTGGAACTTGGGGGCAAGAGGAAACCTCAGTGTATTTTTGTAAAGGTGAGAAAGAAGGTGGATCAGTTCAAGTACCTCAGGTCAACAAGGAATGGACAGAAGAGGTGAAGAAAGTGGATGCGTGTCAGCCGGAATTGAAAAGTCAATATTTCTAGCGAAGGTTTAAAAGATTAGAAAGATGATTAGACCTTTGTGATGATGTTTATACACCTGGGCAGACATGAAGGCGCTGAGATCAGAACAGAATGAGAATCAAGCAGATCAGAGGAACTGCTAAGGTTGGAGCTAAATCTACAGAGACAAGGTTGAGATAGAGATGGTCGGGGTAACAGTAGAGGGGGCGAGGGATGAGGTGAGAGAGGGGAGGGAGCAACATGGGGAGGAAGATGACTATGATGATGAAGGAGGGCATGGAGATGATTGGTGTGGAAGTGGACGTTCGTGGATAGTATGAGACGAAGCAGCTAGAACTGAACCTACTGTGATAATTTCAAGAGCATTTTTAAAAAGCTTCAGTGAATCACTACTACTGTGTTTTGCTCCAAAGTTAGTGGAGTTTGACTGAATTCACCCTGGGGTTCACCTTTTCATCTCTGTAATCTTGAGTTTGAGTAATTGTAAAATTCACCTGAGAGTCATGAATTGTTTTCACCTAATATGAGTGAAACAAAGTCCCAACACGCGGCTGATGTGGGCCACAGATGGAATCCTCAGTAGTTCAATTATTCCATACTGAGCCTCGTGGGTAAATTCTATATCTGTTTTCAAATGAACTGATACTAAGGCCTGTAAATATTTACAGATTTCACTT